ATTGCAGTATTACTGGTGCTGTGAGAGCCAGACCAGGGCTCCCTGCTGCCCTGGGCTTGGGAGTGCCAGGAATGGCCTCTGGAAAGGTCCTTGGATGGACAGTCTTGCTCTCTAACAGTTCTGTTTGGCAATCTCATAGGTTGCATGTGGCACAGTCGTTTCCTGTCCCTGTATCTTTGCTGGAAGATACTGATTTTGCTCGTCTGTCTTGCAGAGATGACTCTCCTGTCCTCCCAGACACCATCTTTGGAGTCGTCCTCAGCTGCCACCGAGAGTCCAGAGCAAAGGATGCTGGAGAAGAGGGCCAAGGTTATTGAGGAACTGCTCCAGACAGAGCGGGACTACATCAGAGACCTGGAGATGTGTGTAGAGAGGATCATGGTGCCCCTGCAGCAGGCACAGGTAGGAGGAGGGAGGCAACCTGTGTTGCAGCACTGGTGGGAAGAGGTGAGGATACTGAGTCTGCTTTGTGCTCAGAGGCTGACAAGCAGCAGCGTGGGAACCCATAGAGGAAATGCAGTCATGGTGAGGGGAGGAGGATGGTTCTCGCTGCTCCCTGCGCTCATAGCAATAGTCCATATGTTTTGGGATCCTGATGAGCTCTTGCTACTGCTGAGAGCAAGAGTCCTGGCAGCAAGTATCACAGATTCATTTCCTGGGGCAGGAAATACTCCTCTTCATTTGGTTTGTAGGTTAAATTCTTTGTCAGGAGAAAGAAAAGATGGGTTTTTGGCATGGGGATAGAATGGGTGGGAGGACAGGGAGAATAACAGGTGAACGGAGGCAGGGAGCTCTGGGACAAGCACTGGGAAAGAGGGGACACCATGATAGGACACATAAGGAGTGTGAACGTCAGTGCACTGGGGGGCAAGGGAGTGAGTACAGAAGTCACTGTGATGGGAGGAGGTCATACCAGGAGGCTGCTGTGAAGCTGAGGACTGATGGGTTGCAGAAGGGCAAGGGTGGGCTGCTGGGTCTGACTGGGACATATTTCCTCATCAAGGACATCTCTCTTCCCATTCCCTAGATGCAGAACATAGACTTTGAGGGTCTTTTTGGAAACATCCACGTGGTAATTAACTTCTCCAAGCAGCTGTTGTCCACCTTGGAGGCTTCAGATGCCATCGGTATGAAATCTGTTAACTTTCCTCAGCAGGCTGGGATGGGCTTTGCTAATGGCAGAGAATGGTTTAAATGGTGGGAAAGGATCACTGGGGCTGGGCTTCCTCCCTGCTGGTCCCTGTCAGTCCAGCAGCAAAGCCAAGGAGATCTGTGTTGCCCAATGGGTCGCTATGCTGAGAAACACAGTGCCTGTGGCCCTTGCCCTGAAGTGAGCTCCATTCCTCACTCCTATGCTGCCATCTTTTGCCACTCAGGCCTTGAGCAGCCTGTGCCTTTGCTCTCTGTGTGGCTCCAGTAACCAGTGTCCCCACTTTTTACCCCTGGGAGACCTCTCTGTGCTACTGGGTAATATGGAGGCATCCTGGGTGCTCTAGTAGACTGTCTTCTTGAGCTCCGTGTGTGTAGGAATGGGGATGCTGGGCTTCTCACCATGAGTCACGCCATAGTTGTTTGAGGTAGCCGGGGACCAGGAGACACTAAAGTCCTGCTTTGCTGCTGTCTGCAGGGCCAGTGTTCCTGGCACAGCGTGCAGAGCTGGAAAGTGTCTACAGGGTGTATTGCCAGAACCACGATGAGGCCATCGCACTGCTGGAAACCTATGAGAAGGATGAGAAGATGCAGAAACTACTCCTGGACCTGCTGGATAGCCTCAGGTTGGAGCCTCTGGCTGTGGCAGCCACCAGGCCTGGGGTAGGGGGTCAGTCTCCAGCATCCCTGCCCCTCTACCAGCAGCACTTGGACAGTTCAGATGGTGGTTAGAGGGGGGCTGGCTGTGTCACTGCATAGTTTACCAGACTCCAGGTTCAAATGGCCCCCTGCCCCAATGCACAGATGCTGAGACATCTGTAGGTCTACTTAAACTCTGAGCAGAAGCCACCAAGGTACAGAGAAAATGGCATGTCCTGGATTGAGGGTTTCTGTTCCCGCGCCCTGCCCCATCAGCCCTCATGGCTGATGAGGAAGGAGCTGTTCTGCCTGGTTCAGTGACTGCCAGGGGTCCAGCTTGTGGGGATTTATGCCCCAGGAGCTGGCTGTGCTGGCGGCCACTCTGGGTGCGGGCGGCTACTCTGGGGGGACATGGCCACCTACCACCCTGGTGGCAACATTATGGGATGGGGCAAAGGCACTGGCTGTGGGATTGCACGCCTGCCGCCCCATTAACCCATTGCTTTTCTTTGCTTTTTGGCACTCTGTGGGCCGGCAGGAGCCTGTACAGTGAGTGGTAAGTGCACTCTTTCTGTTAGTCCCTGTCTGTCGTCTGTCTTGGCCTGGCTGCTCCCTTGTAACTAACCATCTGCCACCAGCTGGGTGCATGTTTAGGGGCCTTAACAGTGTCTTGTGAATGCATGTCTGGGAGGAGCGGGGTGTCTGTGGCAGTGGGTGGGCTATACAGGCAGGCAGCACAGGTGATGAGGCGAGAGGAGGTCTCAGGCAGGAAGCAGGTTTTGGCATCAGCCCTAGGGAGCCAGGAAAGCACTGCACTGACTGCAGATCTGAGCACATTCAGTTCTGTCCTGCACTGGTGGACGGATCTGGGCAGTTGGATGGTGGGACGGTCTGAAGCAAGTGGTGTGTTGCTAAGTTTGAGGCTGTGCCTGTGTGGGATTTCACAGTGTGTCTGGTGATGGACTGGATCCTGGCTGGGAAGGGTCATTTGCTGTGAGTGAGGTCTGGAATCCTGGGGTTGACCTTACAGCACTAGGAGTTCAGGAGTGCAGTCAGTTTGGAGATGAGGGATGGCATGACTTGGGGAATACAGTGGATTTAGATGCATTAGTGTTCTGGGTCTGGCTGGCAATGGTTTGAGGGGCAGAATTGTGTAGCAGAGCTGGACTGAAAACTGGTGCATCTCCTTTGTCCCAACTTCCCAGGGGCTGCACAAACTACATTAACCTGGGCTCCTTCCTCATCAAGCCAGTGCAAAGGGTGATGCGGTACCCACTGCTGCTGATGGAGCTGCTGAGCGCCACCCCTGAGGCTCACCCTGACAAGGCACCGCTGACGGCTGCTGTCCTCGCTGTCAAAGAGATCAACGTTAACATCAATGAATACAAGCGCCGGAAGGACCTGGGTGAGCAGCTGGGGAGAGGCAGGGGTGGGTGCATTGAGGTTGGCATCTGTCAGCTCCTGAGCCTTAGCTGGCAACCACAGTTGTGGTGGGAATCTGCTCCCAAGGTCTGTGCCCTCAAAGAAGGGCAGTTAGAAAAGCTGCATTCAAACAATCTGAGCATGAGATATAATACTTAAAGTAAGGCAGTATACATCCAACTTTAGCTGTTTCTTGTGGTACAGAGGTAGGAAATGTATGCAGCTGCTGACTAGATGGCTATTAAATGAAAACAAAAATAATTACAAGACAAAGAATATATATCTGAAGTTTAAAAATGCCATTTTAAACAACACAAATAGGGAATTAATCTGCTAGGGCAGTCTCTGTCTTACTGAGATTTGGAGGTTTAAGTTTGAAGGTGTATCTGTAGACAGGACAGAATCACGGAAGTGCTGGCTGCAAGAGCCCTCTGGGGTCTCCTGTCCAACCTCTTGCTTGGAGGATTTTCCCCAATGTTGTCTCTGATCAGCCACTGCTCCCTGCAACCGATTCTCACTGATCTCCAAGGATGGAGGTCTCACAGCCTCTCTGCTGTCCTCTGCCAGGGATGCACCACCTTCACAGTGAAGCTGTGTTCCCTGATTCACTCTAAAGGTCCCAAGCTGCTCTTTGTGGTTGCTGCCCTCCGTGTGTTCCGTGACTCTGCTCAGAGGATTTTGGCCCCAGCACCTTCAAGTAGCTGCTGGCTGTGAGCAGATCCCCTGCACCTTCTCCCAGCCAGGCTGAGCCTGGCTCCCCCAGCTCTCCTTGTGGGGCCTGAGTTCTCCCCATGGGTCAGGAGCTCTGGTTCTCCCACATCCCTCTTGACTTGGGGGCACCAAAACTGGACCCAGTTCCCAAGTGCAGCCTCCCTGGGACTGAAGAGAGGGAAGACAATTATTCCATTTGACCTGCCAGCCACCCTCTCTGTTTTCCCTTGGAAGCTCCTGACTCATGCAAGTCTTAAACTTTGCTCTGTCTACGTAGCTCTAATGAAGCTGAGATGACATAGGCTGCCTGTAATGATTGCTCATATTTGCTAAATAAGCAATATAAATGCCTTCTGTACATCCAGCGATTATTATATACTATCTATCTCCTATGTCGCCATATGGTAGCAGTATTCATACTCCTATGGAAGAGTTTGAATGGTGAGCCTACAAATTGTAGGGTGTATCGAGAACCAAGTAGGGGATTGCAGGTGGCACAGTGCTGGATTTCAAGATGATGTATGGTACATTATGGTACGATAGTTTACAAGGGTATGTAGCGATAGGACAAGGGGTAACAGCTTTGAACTGACAGAGGGTAGATTTAGATTAGATATTAGGAAGAAATTCTTCACTATGAGGGTGGCGAGACACTGGCACAGGGTGCCCAGAGAAGCTGTGGCTGCCCCATCCCTGGCAGTGTTCAAGGTCAGGTTGGATGGGGCTTTGAGCAACCTGGTCTAGTAGAAGGTGTCCCGGCCCATGGCAGTGGGTTTGGAACTAGATGAGCTTTAAGGTCACTTCCAACTCAAACCATTCTCTGATTCTGTGGGGGTATATGGGACTGCAGAAGCTTAAGGAAGGGGAAAGTCAGCAATGCAGTTGTTGATGATGATGTGCTGACAAGGGTTCTGATTTCTGCATCATTCTCTTCAGTGCTAAAGTACCGGAAAGGGGATGAGGATAGCCTCATGGAGAAGATCTCCAAGCTCAACTTCCACTCTATTATCAAGAAATCCAACCGTGTGAGCAGCCACCTCAAGCACCTCACTGGCTTTGCGCCCCAGGTAACATATATCAGCTGCCAGGTGCACTTGCACCTTGTGGTGCAGTGGCATCTGCAACCCCCCCACACTCCTTCCTCAATGAGCTGCAGTGATCCAGGTCACTGAGGCAGGGTGAGCTTAGGGCCCGAACCATCCATCTGCTGTCCAGCTTGTGGGCAGAAGGTCCCACATCTCACAATTTGGGATGTGCAGGAGTCCTGCATTGCCTCCCTTGAGATGTTTTCTCTCACAGCTGAAGGATGAAGCCTTTGAAGAGACAGAGAAAAATTTCCGGATGCAGGAGAGACTGATCAAGTCCTTCATCCGGGACCTTTCCCTCTACCTGCAGCATGTCCGGGTGAGTCAGGGTGGAGATGATGCCTAACCTCTGGGGCTTGTGCACTTCCCCTCCTGCCTGCATGGTATGTACCTGCAGTGCCTCTGGCCAGTGCTCCCACCCTCAGCCCTGCCAGGCGGGGTGGTCTCTGAGGGTCTAGGCTGCCCTGGGAGGCTTCTTTTGGGCAACAAAGTCTGGATGTGCTGACTGTGTGTCCCTGGTGCAGGAGTCGGCTTGCATGAAGGCACTGGCAGCAGTGAGCATGTGGGACCTGTGCATGGAGAAGAGCAGTGGGGACTTGGACCAGTTCCAGAAAGTGAATCGGCTCATCAGCGACCAGCTCTTCTCCAAATTCGTGAGTGAGACTGTGCTCTTGTGTGCTGGGGGCACCCCTGTGCAGTCCTCCCTTGGGAGGCTGCAGGGAGGGTAACACAGCATGCTAGAGGTGTGGGCACTCCTGTTTGGCTCCCTTCCTGAGAGCTTTGATGCCTGTGGGTTTATGATGTGTACTGAGCATACCTGTCAGACACACATTTTTTTCAGCCCTTCCTGAAATGTTACAGATCTCTGTGAGTGGTTCAGGTACTTCCCATAGCATTGCCCGCACTGGCACATTTATGTAAGATTATACAGTAATTCCCATTGGAAGTGACCTCTGGAGCTCTGGTGGGTGCCATTGGGAAGACAGATCCTAATGCTGTCCTGGGGATGTTTTGTGCTGGAGGGTGAGCTGCTGGTATTCACCACACAGTGAGTGCTGTCTGCATCTCTGCCCATCAGAAAGAGCGGACGGAGCGTCTGGTGAGCTCGCCCCTGAACCAGCTGCTGAGCATGTTTGCGGGGCCCCACAAGCTGGTGCAGAAACGTTTTGATAAGCTCCTCGATTTCCACAACTGCACGGAGCGAGCGGAGAAGCTGAAGGACAAGCGAACGCTGGAGGAGCTGCAGTCTGCTCGCAACAACTACGAGGCCCTCAATGCCCAGCTGCTGGATGAGCTGCCTCAGTTCCTGCGCTTTGCCAAGGAGCTGTTTGCCAGCTGCGTGCGGGGCTACGCCGAGGCACACTGCGACTTCGTGCGCCTGGCCCTGGAGGAGCTCAGACCCCTCTTGTCGGTGGGTTCCCGGAGCACAGACAGTGCTCTGGGCTCAGTGTAGCACTAATCTGCGCAACTCTTGTTCCCAAGCCTCTCTGGGACCCGTGCCATTGCAGGGGAAGCTGCTGCTGCAGTGTCGGGCCCCAAGTGCTTTGTAAAGCCCTGACCCCCAACCCTGTTCTGGTTCCAGTTGCTGAAGGTGTCCAGCAGGGAAGGGAACCTCATTGCCATCTTCCAGGATGAGCACAGTCGAGTCCTCCAGCAGCTCCAGGCCTTCACCTTTTTCCCAGAGTCCCAGGCAGCTCCCAAGAAGCCTTTTGAAAG